TTTTTTGTACAGCTTTCCAGCATTTGCAGAAATAGAAACATTCTCTGGTGGACACTTGGTAGCGTCGAATCGTCAGCATCGAAGATATTCAACGGATGATGGCGTGTGCATAACTACATCACCTTCTAAATGGCCGGGCGTAACCAACTTGCGTGCATTATTGGCCCGCGAGAAAGACGAAGATACACCAAAATTGAATATTCTCCTTTGCGAAGCTTTTGTAGCAACTTATATGAGCTTATTCGTTTATGCACTGTGGAGTTGCGACAGTCATATTCTTTATAGGCTTGTAGGTCAACACTTTGATAACAGCACTTGGTCTTGCTTGTTTGGGGGTGGAGTTAAAAAATTATTACGCGTTGCAAGTACAAGCAGTCAGGTATATTCTTTCATTATTTCCTACGTTATTTTGTGTTTAACACTACACGTATATTTTACACGATATATTTTATTTGTCCAGACAAGTGGAACAGCGGGAATGATAGAAAGAGGTGGCGATAATGTTTCAAACGAAACGCAAACTACTGCAGGAACCGTATGGAACACTATGACTTCGTTGACTAAACAACGTGTGAAATTGAATATGAAATTATTAGGCCAATTTACGGGTCAGCAACCAAATATGAAAGAAGATAAACCTACGTATAGAGAACAATTTGTTTCACCTCAAATGAGCATGATATCGTACTTTCTAATGAAGGTAAATTAATTAATGTAATGATAGATAACAATGATAATGATTGACATAATTAATTTTTTTTTCTATTTAATTTAGCCACAAATAAATAGCGAGTATGCGGATGAAATTGATTACGATTCGTCTGATTCCGCAGTATCGGATTTAAACTCTTCCGAGGATGAGGAAGATGTATTCGACACCAATTCAAAACCAAAGAGTAAACCAAAGGATAATACAGAACATACGAATCCAAATTCGTATAGTTGGTGTGTTATGCGATTAGCCATAGTCAAGATACTGCAACAGCAGCTCCAGGATTTTTTAAATGTTGCTGGTATAGAAATGCAAGGTAGTTCATTTCAATTTATCATAAAATAATTCATGATTTTAAACAAAAATCTTGATTTATTTTTCTTGTTACAAGTAATATATCTTTTGCCCTTACTTTTACTTCCTTGTTGGTCCTTATACACAGAGTTACCTGTGAATAGTCCTCTGATTCACGGAACGTTAGCTGTTGTGGCACAGTGGCAAGAAACCTTACGCGAAGAATTAGACAGTAGAGGACCGCCACCGATCAATTACATTCCTGGTTGTGCACCCGATCCAATTCCTACACCAGGAAAGCCAGCGATTCATAAATATAGATCTTTACTTGAAAAAAACAATACTCCTTTCAAGTAAGATTATAAATTAAGAAATAATAAAAATCTAATATCGAGATTAATAGTTCGAGTGCTGAATTAATGATGATTTATGGTTATATTATTCTTTACATTTAGTACACGTTTGGCATCGGCGGCACCTGCTAATCGACTGTGGTGTTACTTAGTTCGACAAGAATCAGTACAAGACATTTTTATTCGAGCCGTATTTGGTAAACGTAGATCTTTGTCGTCAATTTTGGAAAGCAATCAAACTACGATCGATAACATGAATCGTGGAACTACCGCAGATGACAAAGGTAGCGATAGCGGGACTACCAGTTTACCCGAACCTGTTCGAATTATTCACAAGGAACAAGATAGCATTAGTGCCTTTTGCCTCAATCAGGTTTGATTAGTCTATTTTTATTTCATTTAAAAATAGTCGGATTTGAAAAAAAAAATAAGAAGTTCTGATACATAAATTGATAATTCAGGTAAATCCAGGTTTAATGGCCTTAGCAACTCCACGAGAAGTACAAGAAATGAATATATCGTTATTACTGGAACTACCATCTTGGCTAGAAGATGAATGTGAATTTGATATAATAAATTTAAACAAACAGCCGGAACCAGAACCAGTGCAACCAACTAGTTTCTTAGTTATTCAGGTTAGTTATCCATGAAAACCTTAATATTTCTCTCTCTCTCTCTCTCCCTCTCTCTCTGTCGCTTATAAAGCTATACATATCCTCCCGTTTGTTTATAGACAGCAGCTGATCGGCCATTACTTGCTCAAAGCCCGCAAACAAATAGTCCTCAACCTCAATCAGGCATTGCGAGTCAAAGTGGAAGAGGAGCTAGTGTGGTAAGCTTTTTCTCGATTATTATTAGCAAATTAATTCGTATATTTAAATAACCAGCACTGTACAGTCGTATGTTTGTCTTCTAAAACATTTGTAGTTTTACGTGTGTCATATCCCTACTCAGACTTAACCCAGGTGTTTCTGATTTACTATCCGATGTTTCTTTTTTCCGTATGTATATATTCATGTGTTCTTTGAAATGAAGATGGAAAAGGACAAAAATGAAAATAATAAGCCACTAATCTTGTAATATAATATTCTTCAGGAATATTTGGGTTAAAGAAAGATTGAGTGACGAGTAATATAACATTCAAATTGCTGAAATCGAACGTATAATTTTTATTTTCTTTCTTTCTCTTTTCTTTCTTACTTACTTTCTTCCTTTTTTTCTTGCTTTCATTTGTCTAGGATTCTTGTCTAAGAACGCTTCACGAATCATCGAATTTCTTGTCAAACATGAAACTTTGTACAGAATACTTTTTCTCCGTGAGAAATTAAAGTTGATAAACTACTGCAAACTGCAGGCTACCAGAAAAGCATATCTCCAAAAGTAAAGAGAAAAGAGTGTCTGATATAATTTTCTTAATATTTGTTTTCTTTGCGTTTGAAAAGTAAATTACTATTTGACAAGCAACAGACGAATTTATGAACGTGTTTAACGTACATGAACCGGACGTACATCACCAATCGAATGTTGAATCTGATCACTCATTCATGAAATTTTGTGTCGATATTAATGGTAGCAATTTGTACTATTAAATTTATCGTATTTATAAGTTCAGATAAAGTGAATTCTAACATTTATGTGTTATTTACATTATTAAAGCTACTAATTTGTTCAGAAATTTTGATCGACCGTGATTTATAATCCACATAAATTAAAGTCATAATCGTATGTATCAAAAATATAATAAGTATTTCTTATTCCATGTTCCAAAAAAGATTATACGGAACTGGTCGTTGCATGATATGTAAACAAGTTTGCACTATAAATCACCTTTCTTAAGAAACAGTTGGAGCACGGCTACCACAAGGCTTATTTCTTGCGAAACATCGCTCATTGCGGTTAAATTTAAAAATTCGTTGATGTATTACGAAAAAATAACGAATACATGTGAATACGCACGCATACAGTAGTTAAAAATAGAAGAAATTGATCGAAATTGGTTGGAGAAAAGTAGTAAGATCTCGCGAGAGGAAAGTCTTGATAGCCGTAATGTGTTGATATCTAAAGTAGTCGACACATTGGGTCGCGTCAAAGTAGCACATCTGGTGACAGAAACAATGTTCCTTGTTCAATGCTTGCCTAACATCTAACTTGGTTTGCGTCTGACTGACGTCATTGACCTGGTGGCTCGTTCGTTCGCTCAGATGAAGGGGATGCCCGCTTTTCCTGGCTCCCACGACCTACGTTTCTGTCAATTTGTTGCCGATAGGAGCAAACACTTGTTGCAACCGGTGAGATTAACTTCTAACAGACCCTAGCCTGTATGATATCCTAGTATCCCTAGTGTCAACTTTATATTCCAATTCTTTTTCATTTTACTTTTCTTATTTCTTTTCTCCCCCTTGATTATTTAATTTTATTTATATATAATTACATTTTCTTTTTCTTTCTTCCTTCTTATTTTTATATTGTAAACGCTCTTCTTCGTAATATCCTAAGCGTTGTAAATATTGGTATTATATTAAATATACTATAAATCTTTTAATAATAATAAATAATGATAAAGTAATATTTGTAAACCTAATGGATTGTAATGGTTTACAGTATTCGTTAAAAAAAATTAATCTAGAACGGAAGTACAAGTAATAATTACATAAAATATTTAGCATTTTCATCATGTTATGACTGACAATAAACGTAATCGATTTCACACAATTAATACTTTCTCCAAAAATTTAATATTATCTTTGTCTCAGTCTTTCTCGATTCTAATAAATCTAATTTAAAATGTTATGCAATGATAAAGCTTAAGATAATGTATTAAATGTATGTCAAAGTGAATATTGTGTTACTATTTTTGGGTAACTTATAAGCATGACGTAAGAAATAAATTAATATGAATTATCGCTTTTGGATTTTACGAACGAGCAATCCTTTTGTGCTATGCGAATAACTATAACAGAATATAATCAATGCGTATTACGTAATCTGTTCTTGATCCTCGAGTCTTTCGTATCAACTATTATTATTATCATTGCTATTACATTTTTATCTACACTCTTATAATTGTTTTTACCATCATCGTCATAGTTATTATTTTCTTTATCATCATTATCGTCATAACTATCACCACCATCACGATTATCATCATCATCATCACCATCATCATCATCATCATCATCATCATCATCATCATCATCATCATCATCATCATCATCGTCATCGTCATCGTCATCGTCATCGTCATCGTCATCATCCTCGTCGTCGTCGTCGTCGTCGTCGTCGTCGTCGTCGTCGTCGTCGTCGTCATCGTCATCGTCGTCGTCATCATCATCATCATCATCATCATCATCATCATCATCATCATAATCATCATCATCATCAGCAGCAGCAGCATTATCACTTTCTATTATTTTACAGTAAATAAAAAAAACTCATTGAACTGACATATATTAGATATTTGTTTTTCAATATATCGAAGATTAACGTTCCACATACCTTTAAAGGAAATAAATTTTACTTTTCCCAAAGCAATCTCGATACTAACTTATTAATCGAATGTTATTAAACCAATATTGTAAATTTGCTGCAAATGAGCAAAACCGATCGATACAATTTTCCGAATTTCAAATTTTTCGTTTTAATACTGCATGCCTAATGGATGTTTATTTCGTGTACCAAAACTTTAGCGAGAAATTTGTACCCTTTAATTGCATTGTCTTGAATGTTTTGAATGTAGTATTTAGCGTTATTATGCTTTCCTTCAGATTATTTACATACCTTGAATAAAGATCCAAATCCCAAAGTGGGTCCACTAGCTTTCACTTCGATAATTTGGAATTATTGGAATTATAAAACTCTTCAAAAAATTTTTACTAATTACATGGACATCTGCCTCCTTGTGCAGTTAATGTGAAAATATGAAAAATATCGATAAGGTTTTATTTAAGTGTAAAATATACAAGAAGTAAAGAAACGTTTGAAATTTAGTGAACCCAAAAAATATAGAACCCTGTTAGATTAAACGCGACGAACGCTTTTTTAATATATACATCCCTTGAATCGAATGAAATATATTTTGACATGTATTGTATGTAGCTTAATGCTTATTTTATCAGTCTATTGACGGAACTGTCCAAAAAGCGATTGTTTAATCAAATTTTAGCTTCTTTCGAATTAGCAAAAAATAAAGGGGTAACTTCAAAGAACTAGCATGCGTTTATAAAACGTACGATCAGGTTGATACTGTTTAATATTAAGTTCTATATATATATTTATTAGGGTTCAACGCTCTTCTACCGATTTCTCTATTTTCTTTATTCTTTCTTTGCATTCTGATAGGTGTGCGCAAAAATTTATAGTAACCTTGACATTGTTTTTCTAAAAAAAAGAACTTTGTACATTATTGTTTGCGACTAACTGTTTATCAATGATTATATATATATATTTTTTTTGCTTTTTTTTTATTATGTATTGTATAACACGTTACATTTTATTTCCACAGATTCTAAAACATAAAATCGATGGCATTAGAAGAATTTCTTCGCATCCGCTTTTACCATTATGTGAGTATATATTATTTATATATCAATTTCAAACAGTACGTATTATTAAATAAGACACATTGATTTTTTTACGAAATTCTAAGAAATTAATTATTTTTTTGCTACTATTGTGTGGAAACAGATTTAACTGGTTCTCAAGATGGTTCAGTATCATTATGGGAATGGGGACATCAGACAGCTGTAGCAACTCCTAGACCACCTGGCACCTTTGCCAAAGTGACCCGTGTACGTTTCTCACAACATGGAAATAAGTTCGGTGTTGCAGATTCGGATGGACATCTCAGTTTATTTCAAGTAGCTTGCAGAGAAGGAACCGCACGACCATTCTTCGTAAGAATCTTTTTCGCTTTAGTCATAAACCGATCGTTTCTATTTCGGTGTGTATACGTGCGTGCGTGTGTATGTACGTACAAAATACGTACGTACGTATGTACAAAAATAAATTTAGCTGCTCTTTATAATATGCCCTCTTTCTTCCCTCAGAATTATCAGTGCCATAGTAAGGTAACGGCCGATTTTGTCTTCCTTGGTGCATGTAGTTTAGTAGCGACTGCCGGCCATGGTTCTGAAGGACGTAATGTAGCGCTTTGGGATACTTTGCTTCCACAAAATAAATCTCTCATTCAAGGTATGTTTCACTTTCCTCGCGTGAGTACTACGATTATCATAAAGAATTTCGCGTCACGTGACATTTATTTATCTTCTACTTACCTTACTTATTAGGATTCACTTGTCATGAACAAGGAGCTAGCTCATTAATACTTGCACCCCAACATCAACTATTAATCAGTGGTGGGAAGAAAGGTGATATCAACATATTTGACGTCCGACAACGACAACAACGGCATCGTTTCCAGGCTCACGAGTCTGCTATTAAATGCTTAGCTCTTGATCCACACGAAGAATTTTTTGTGAGTGGAGCAGGAGATGGTGATATCAAGGTGATATGTTTTGAGATACGTATTTATAATATACAAAAATAGAAATACAAATATATCATAATATAGATTTATTCATTGCTTTCAATTAGATATGGGGTTTAACCGTCCATTCCCTGCTTTACTCTTTTCCCGGAGAACATCCACGATCTAGTTTCTTTAAAAACATTGGACAAGTAAGTAATAAACAATTTAAATTACATGCATTTCAGCAAAGAACAATATCAACAAATTTCTTTCAGGGTGTAACACAATTACACGTTGATTCTGCTGGTCGTTTATTTTCATGCGGTGCCGATGGATCTATGAAAGTACGTCAGTTACCGGAACGCGATTGTGTCGTACATACTTTATACTAAAGTAGTTCAAAAACGTGGTAATAACCTGGTAGAAAAATATTTTAACAATAAGGTCGTTTGTCCATAAATTGATACTACTAAATGTAATTACTAAATATATGAATGCGTATTTATCCTGTTAACTTCTTTTTAGTTGTTTGAAAAATGTTTGGTTAGGGTGAAGTAATGAAATTTAAACAAGAGAAGCAAGGGAGCAGAGGGGAAAAAAGTTATCAAATTATTATGAACATAGATATATTTATAACGTTGAAGTGCTAAAGTGGTCGTTGCGCATTTCTATTGAGATTTAAATGTTTTTGCTATTAAAGTCTCGTGTTTTTCTTCAGTCGTTAATTATAGATCGAATTAACTGATACTTTTGCCCACATTATACGTCACTTCGTTACTCAGACCTTTCGTTGATTTTTCAATCATATATTGAATTATTTGATAATTATTGTTCCTTTATACAGCGTGTCCTGTTTAAGTGGAAAATATATCGAAAATATAGAAATTACAATGACGTTTGTTTGATCCTGGGAGAAGCATATGAAGATTAAGATTACATTTTTAAATGAAAATTTATATTTTTTTATTACATATTCTTTTATCTGCCGTCAAAACGTTTGTAGACTTACTGTATAAATTGTCAGACTTACTGTCTTCTACACAAACAGTTCTTCAGACATGAATTTGAAACGTGAACTAAAGTTAATATATCGTTGGTATTTTTAAATTACTGTGATGTATAAAATTCCTGATCTGACATTGAGGAACAATAATGATGCCAGCAACATATCAACTTTGAATGTTCACATTTCACTAGTTTCTGCAAAAGAGACCAGTATTAAAGTTGCAATAGCCATCAAACAGAAGAAATACATGCATTTTTCTCACTTAACCTGGATGACCTGTAGAATGTACATTTCTGTACTATAAAAATGCGTGAAGATAGAAAAACGAGCCAAAACTAGTTAAATTGTTAATAATAAGTATTGAACGTAAATGTATTACATTCACAATTTAGTATTATATAATTAATTTTCCGCCAAAAGAAATAGTTTCTGTATTTATTTACATTGTGGCAAAATAAATTTTAAGTTCTTTTCTTGGTAGGAAATATTTAACATAAATGATAAATTGTATACTGCTCGATAAATATGAAAATTAACATAATGGAAATATAGACGAAATAGAACACCTGTTATCTATCATATCGTATGATTTGTATATACAATACAAAATATTTAAAGAAAAAGGGGTAGGAAAAAGCATGAAATTAAGTAAAAAGATAAAAAATGTTATAAACATATTTGCGACTACCTTTCGCGTATATGTAAGTTACTCGTTGTCGAAGCAAAAGTATTTGTGAAATATAATTTCATGAAAGCCATGTGTCCTTACATTGTATTGTACCTAACACTTTAACTTACAAGGAGAGTGCAAGTCCTTCGGGTCACCGATTTAGTTGAAACTTTGCAGGTTTGTAGATTTCGACATACAGTTCAGGAATATATATCATTGTAGCCGCAGCTACTCAATAGTTTTTGAGAAATTTATGATTAAAATTTTATTATATCGCTAATTAAAGAATTACTTGCATTAATTTCCAAGTAGAGTTGTGGTCTAACGGTGACATTCGAAAATTCCTATGCTGGAAGTCCGGGTATCGATTCCTGTCCATAGTTTGTAATTTTTTTTTCAATCTATTTTTTATTTTGTATTAATTTTTCGCCTATGAAAATATTGTAAATAAGCAATTGTAAATAAAATTTCTTAATAAAAAAATTTATGTTTACGCTTTCTTATGCAAGTATATATTTATTACAAAGTAATAAGAATATTATGTAAGAAAAACAGTTTTCTATAGCAATCTTATTTACTGCAGAAAGAAAACGAAAATGTAAATAATCATTAGATACAGGAAATACAAAACCTATCGCTCATGTAAGTATTAATTATTAAATTAAACTTTGTATGAGAACGTTGCTGTAATTCCAACTTTGCTATCCAGCTATATAAATGTTCATGAATTAATTACAGAAACTTGGGAATTTATTAAGTTTTTACTGTGGAATTGATTTATTAAGATGTTAAATTTTTATTGTCTATTAAGATGAAAAATTTTACCGTCTGCGATCAGCGCTATCTATGATTTTGGACACGAAATTCGGAAAAGTAATAGGAACACAGAATAGGCGAGGAGGTCGTCGAAGAACTCGTAACGTGACAGACAAGGACAGAGAGGGGATGGAAGGGCTCCGCCAGTGAAAAGTTAACGAATTGTTCAATTTCCGTGATTAATTTATGAACTCTTATAACTGCATCGGAAAGCTGGAACACTAGGGAACATTCTTATACAATTTTTGTAAAAAATTTAAAGCTAATTGGTTAGTTATTAATTATTGTTTGATGGCGTCCATGATTTCGTAACGATGACCGTCACAACCTTCCATGAAAATATTTAATACTAAACGAAACTAGAAGCAAAATGTGATCAAAAATTATATGAGAAGATTCGCAAGAACATTGTCTTTATAATGCGTACATGAAGCTTCATAAATTAATTGCGCAGAGGATAGTAATTAATGAAAAACCAATGGTGTCTTCGACAACAATTCAAACACTGCGTAAATAATTATTAATAATTAATTAATTAGGGACAAATTTATATCGAAAAATATATTAGAAAGTTCTTGAAGGATCTGCCTTTACGATGCAATTATAAAAGTTCATAAATTAATCACAGATATTGTGTAATTAGTGAATTTTCCACTGCCGGTTTGATTTATTAAAATATATTAGGAGCACATAACCAGAGTTAGTAAACTATTCGAGTAACATCAGAGCCATCTATCATCTCGTTGCGGAACTCGAACTTCAAATCTAAAATCACAGATGGCTCTGATGTCACTCGAATAGCTTAATAACTCTGGTTATGTACTCTTAATATATTTTAATATATTTTAATAAATTAAATCATAAAGTTTTCTACATTCTTTAATAAATTCCGCCCAAGCAGCGGTTTTAATTAGACAATGAGTATTCATTTCTTTATCTGACAGATGACAAATATGCAAAGGTAAGCCTTCAAAACGCAATTATAAAATTTCATAAATTTATCATAGAATTGAGTGATTTGTTAATTCTCTAATGGCGAATGAAAATTTAGGAAACAGCGTGTAGGTGCTATGTATAATTTTACACTGGAAGCTTGTGTTCCAGTAAAAAATCATAGTTGGCGCTAATGGAGCACAAGCTTCCAGTGTTAAGTCATAGGTCGCACTTACCGCAGTTTCCCAAATTTTAATTCGGCATTAAAAAATTACCAAATTACACAATTTCTGCCATTAATTTATGAACTTTTGTCACGTCCTTTACAAACTTTTTAATATAATTTTCTATATTAATTTCTTCCTATTTAATTAATTACAAGTAATTATTCTCCGAATGTTCGAACTCAGTCGAAGATATTATTGGCTTTTCATTAATTTCTATCTTCTATACAATTAATTTATATATTACATGCACACATTATATAAACAATATCCTTGGAAATATTCTCAAGTGAGCTTCATTCGTATTTTATATCTAGCTTTGTTCATAATTAATTATTTTTACCAAAATGTGCGCCGATCGTTGTTATCATGTCCCGTATGCCGCCAAGTAATTATTAATAATAAACTAAATACCATCAAATAATGCGCAAAAGTTGCATAAGAATGATGCCCAAAGATCCAGCTGTCTGGTCCAATTATAAAATTTCATAAATTAATTGCAGAAATCAAGTAATTTGTTAATTTTCAAATTGCTGAATTATCCATCCTTTTCTAGTCGCTTATTGTCCTTGTCACAAGGACAATTCCTTTGCAGCATATGTGTTCAATACTTTTACAGCCTATATGGACAATACTTTTGCCGCATCGGTGGACAATACGTTTGCAGCCCGACCGTAAAATTTTCGACCGATTTCGCGACTTTGTACTAGGATAACATAACATGATAGGAGGTAGCTCGCATAGCAGTTCCAAGAAATGACGTCATTTCCAAGAAGTTCATGGACAATACTTTTGTAACCTGGTCGATGGCCTGGTATCCATAGTATATATAGCCCATTCATTGCAGGAGATTTTAATTATTTTTGTTGCTTTACCTACCTTACTTACCTGACTTTACTTACCTTAATTCCTCATAACTTACATATTACTAACGGAGATATTAATCACTATCTTAAACTTATTACTAACTAATTTTTAATTAATGACTAAATTATAACTAATTTATAACTATTTTATATCTAGTTTGTGATTAATGGTTACTTTACTTACCTTACTTACCTTAATTCCTCATAATTTACATGTTACTAGCCGAGATATTAATCACTATCTTAAACTTATTACTAACTTATTTCTAATTAAAAACTAATTTATAACTAATTTGTAACTAACTTATAACTATCTTATAGCTACTGTGACTAATGTTTCAACTTTGGTGCATAGCCCTTAGCTTGATATCGTTTGCCAAAGACTTTTCTTTGGAAAACGATACCAATTACCAGGTCTCACCACGTGGAGGTGGCTACGCATCGAGACCCGGACATGCGCCCTAGTGACGCAGCCTATTGGCGCTAACTGTATCAAAGATATCTAATCTAACCTGCAGCGAATTAAGTTAAAGCGACTCTACTGACACTTTATTAAATTTCGTGTCTTACAAAGAGGACTTCGATACGGTACACTACAAATCTATAGTCGCGACACTAAGATATCTTATTTCTCATAAAAATAGGGAATAAAATATAAAACACGAGAACAAGTTAAAAATCGCGGTCGCGCCCTAACGAGTTTGCGATTATTCGGAAGACCGACTAGCATACGAGACGTGCTCACGTGTACAGAGATAACTTCATGCCTCGGCACCCTCCCAATCGGGCCTATCCCATATCCAGCCACTGCT